ACCTCCTTCAAAGAACGGTACCCCGACATGTTTGAAATGTTTTTAGATGTCCTCTTCGCCTTTGACTTATAACAATAAACCACTTTTACATTTTCAGTAGCCCAGCTTTCCCGTCTTTCTTTAAATTCCGCCAGTATAAGGTCGAATTTCCACCAACAGGCATCAGTTGCCTGAGCAACAGGAGTTTATATTGATGGATATGATTATATTTAAATCATTAAAGAGAGTAGTATTTTATAGTTATTTATGTTGCCTGTTGGAGAGGGGGTTGAATGTTTGTGTTGCTCTTCCTTCCGCGTCTCATTTTCTGATATCGGGGTTTCCTTCCCTTTTTTAGACGATTGGGGCGCTCTACCTCATGCACTTTTCTGATCGCTATTCGGTGCGGCAAATTACGGATCTGATTAATACGACTTTCCGAGAAGATCTGTCAAGGAAAACTTACCTCTGCCTGGCTGCTAAAAGAGCTCAGAATATGGACTGTTAGTAGTATTCCTCTCTCCTACCCTCTTCCATACGACTCAAGAACCTTGTGCTCACTTGACAACATGATTATTTTACAAATTTTAAATGTTTCAAGTCAACAAATAAAGTCTTTTCGTACTGCGTGGATTTATATACAAATCTGTCTGTCACCGTGTTGCACCCTGACGGGCCGCAATGAGGAACACTCGTATTCCTGCGGTTTGAGGCAACGTGCATACAAATGTGTTTCTGATTTGCTGTCTTCTTAAAGATTCATGTAAACCCTTGTCGTAATGGCTTAAGTTACTAGATAAAACCCTTGCCGATGCGATATTCAGATAATCTTCCGTAGGGGAGAAGAAGTAAGACGCCTGGGGTAAGGAATGGTGTATTCTGCACAAATGGAGTGGAGAACCGGTTGGAAGAAGTTGACTGTTGGACGAATACGAGTTTGCACCCGAGCGTGACAGTGTCCGATGTTCCTTGCAATCATTACAGCGTCCAGGGAGTGGTATATGTGTAAGTCAGTCTTGAAGGAGGTTGACCAGACAAATTGCGGTCGGCTTACGGCACCTGTGATTGGCTGTCCCAGTAGTACACAGATCTGCAATCCCGAGTCCTGATGCATGGCGCGACGCGAGAGGTGGAAGGCGGTACGGTCTCACTATAAACCCGCAATGATGGTTATACAACTTCAGTTCCTTTCTTGGAACGGCTACCAGTCCGTAATTCTCAATGCACACTTACAGGGCCAGCCACGTTGTCCTTCATTAATGTTTCTAGATCATGCTTGGGGTCTGCTTCTAAGATGCAATTTAAAATAGTCGACACACCGACCTACCTCCAGCTTACAGGGCTTTAAGCCGCCACATGCACTGTGGAATTTTGGTGGTAGGGCTGGGTCGAGGAACTGTCAAACCATCGTCGATGTAACGACTGGCCAGGCAATTGAGCCACCAACCTCTGCTTGACAGCCTGGAATGGTCATGGGCAGTAAAATGGGAGGCAGCAAACAGCTGGCAATCGAATCATCACGGAACACAGTCTGAGTTTGTTTAGATTATTGGGCAGTTCGTTGACAGTGGGCGACCAGACGGACAGACTGAGTCAATCAATTTCAGGGACCCTTTTCATGAAACCTTATTCGACAGCAAAATGTATCTGTCATGGCAGTATTAGAGACAACTACATTCACAACGTACATAACTAAATGACGTAGAGCTGCACCACATGGTCGATTACGCATCTATCGAAATTTGTGTGCTATGGCAACGGGACGGCATGTTTAATAGGCTCCTCGCCTTGTACACGACGGTTCTACCAGTGAGCCCGATCTTGTTTGCAACGTTCACAGTATTTCCAATACTACTACTACTACTACCAGTTCTACTACGAAGACGGCGGATAGAACTGTGGTAGCTAGTACTGCTGCGACTATCATTACAGTCAATAATACTACGAAAGAAGAAGAGGATGCGATCACTGGAACAAGAGTTTTATTTTCCTGACGTTTC